AAAATCAATAAAACTAAGATGAAAAAGTAAACATAAATTAACTATGACAATGCGTCATCTGAAAACATCAAAAAACTTATAACTATTACATTTATTTTACTACTGAGTGTAAATAAGCAAGAAACAAAGCAAGTAAAAAATTAATTAAAAAAAAAATATTAATATTTCTAGGTTGATTGACATAATCCAGTGAAGCTCATGAATGGATATAATATTTTTCTTGATTTAATATTCACTCAAGAACCCACCAGAAAACTTCGTCTGTCTTAATGAATGTTGGTAATTTTGACCAGTTTTCTGAATTTTCGTTTTTCTTTCACCTTACTACGTGCATTTATTTAATTTCTTACTATTTTTCTCTCTTTCTTTGTTTTAAATTTTCTCTTAACATTTGACCCAGTAGGGTTATTTATATATAATATATAAAGTATGTGATTGGTGTATACGGAATAAATTTTAATTTTTAATTTTAATTTCAAATTTTATCGTACAATTTAATACTTATTAGTTAGAATAAATTCTATTTTAGTATAAACCTAATTTTAAAGCATTTAATAGTTATTATAACCTTACTTCGTTGTAAGTTTTCTGAATTCTCGTATATTTCTTTTTTGATTGGTCATTTCAGCTCATGTGACAGCGTTTCCCCTTACGAGGGGTGGTTAATTAATTTGAATCTTTTAAAACCTTTATTCTACAATCTACATTCAAAATCATTACTTAATAAGACACCAGAGGTGTTGAAACAAAATGGCTATCTTTGTAGTGATTTTATAACATATTTATGTTATAATTTTTAAATAAATAAATATATATATATATATATATATATATATATATATATATATATGCGTATGCTAACACGTGCATAAATTAATTGCTCATTAATTAATTGTTAATTCTCGAGGCCTTTACATTTAATGGACGTTTTTTCCAGCGTGGTTTACTGAGCGATGGAGTCTTCCCACTTTACAAAATAGTGGATATTGGGACTTTATAGCTGTTCCACCCTTCGATCCATAATTCGTCTCCTTTGTAAACCTGATTTTTTTTTTTTTTTTTTTTTTTTTTTGGATAGATAAGTTGCCCATTTCAAGCTCCGGACCTTGTAACCATCTACCAATACTAATTCAAATTGGAGTAGGGGGGTACACATGCATCCCCGTGCAACCATCGTTACCCCACCACCCTACCTTCTCCCATATATCTCTTAGTCACCACGTACATGTGCTAGCTTGTCTCGGTATTTTTAGTTCTCGAGCCGGTACGATGTTTCTGACCCAAGAAGGAGTTCTGTTGCTTTGACTTCTGGGCAGAGGCGACATGTCCACTCGGAGCAGCAAGCATGGGTGCTGGAGGTAGACGTTTTCTGGGTTTTGACGTTATTCGTCTGATAATCAGGGATCCAAACATTCCAAAGAAGGCTATCCTACCATCAAGTGTATAATATCGGGGCTATTACACCGCCATTTTGTGAATGGTTTCTGGACAGTGCAGTGTTCTCCGGTGGGGCCGCTCGATGCCATGATGAAGGGAACTGCTACGGCTGTATCTCTGGACGAGTATATCCAAGAAATATATACGTGCAACTCCCGCGGGTGAGTCTTTCTCTCTACCAACTAGTTTTCCACCAACCAATACACACATGAATCCAATCAAAATGAAAATGAACAAAACTAGCAAACCCAACCTGAAAAAAAAAAAATAAAGCAAACCCTACATATATTATCTCCTACTCCAACGTGAGGAGGGGGGTCTACGTTCCAACTTTCCAGAGGTGGAACACCGTCTTCTTCAGTCCAAACCAGACCTGTTACTTTCTGAGATCAGTATCAACGCTTCAAGTACACTAGGGAAGTTCACAGTCCCGGGCTACTCACCTCTTATAGCTAAATACGACCACCTAAATCATCATGGACTCGGATCCTGCATCAAGGACGTATTTCCGTGTGACAGGGACGCAAAAAACGAGAAACCCGATCTCCCGTATATCTTCTTCCCTTATGTGGCACTTATCCATAATGCCACATTTCTCTCCCTCTCTCTCTCTCTCTCTCTTTCTCAGGACGGTAATCTTCAAACATAACATTCTCACTCAATTTCCCTCAAAGAACAAATAAGACTCTATATTACTACCTCGAATTTGAAAGGTGAAAACATTTATCATGCAGGCACAAAATATTATAGTACAGTTTAAAATTTACAAAAAAAAAGACTTGCACAAAAATTCCTTTCATGCGCTTTATTTAGGACAAGTAGGAACAACTGTAAAATACTTTCCCCTCCCTATTTTATAGGCAGAAGCACACAAATGCATGCTGAGATTTTTTTCCTAATTAATAAGATAGGCCTGTTCTCGGTTTGACTTGACGCAGTCCCAAATAATAGATCAAAAAAAAAAAAAAAAAGAACGTACGCGTATTTCCCTCGTGATTCTCAGGGTGATTTTAAAGATATCTTTTCGAAGTCGTTCAGTTTTCTTTCTGCTTGGGTCCCACGTGGCTCGCTGGGGTCATTTAAGGATCTTTTTACAATGTCATTCAGTTTTCTTTCTGCTTTTCTTTTCCCGTCAGAGTTTTACATTATTATGAAATGTCTGTCGTCAGCGTAGTTTTTAAGAATGCCGAAAACTTTCTGAATTTTGCTCTGCTTGTGTCTTTTACACAAGGACGCCTAAACCTTTTCAACGGTCATCTGGCTTTATCCCTGTATGACGTATCGTTTCCTTCTACTGCAGTCAGTAGGCATCTTCCCTTCTGACGTCCAACCACATTCTGACGCTATCCACTAACCCCTGTTCTTAAACGCTCTCAGGAGTGGCTCAACAGACCTCGACTAAGTTTACGATGGCGAAAGCCACTCTTTTAATTGAACAATAAAGACATGGGTAATATAATCTTTCCGAATTTAAATGTTCAACAATCCACCATGACAGTTATTTCTGGCGGTCATTTTTAGTGTCAGTTCTAAATAAAAAAATAAAAAATAACAAAAAACAAAAAAAAACTTTCACATACAAAATGAAACTTTTTAATAAATTCTCTAGCGTTCTTTTAAATCACTTTTTTTAATTATTTGCGAAGTATTAAAGAATATGAGAAAAATATACTATTAAGGAGAGAGGACAATAAAAAAAACGAGAATTAAGAAGACAGAAGAAAACGATTGACACTGCATTTAATTTTTGAAGATCAAAGTTGTACTAGGAAGCAAGAAGCCGAAAGAGAGTTCCAGAGGAAAAATGCTATAGAAGAAACTGTTAACATAGAACTTACGGTTACATCTAGCCAATTCAATTGCGCTTAAATCCTTAAAATCTATGTACCATAGAGGAAAGTTCATCCAAACGATAAGCATGTAAGTATTTATAGAAAAGGCAAAGAGAAGCTACGTTATGGCGGTGAGAAAGGGACGGAAGTCGAGATGCTATCTCAGGACCAATAACGTTGCAGATTCTTCTTTGGATTTTATCAAGAATCTTTAAATATATAACAGAAGCACCAGGGCAGAAGTGGCAACAATATCAAAAACAAAGAGGAATGGTAGCTTATAAATATGTAAGATAGATTTTGTCGAAAAAAATATAATATAATCAATATAATCTTTCCTTTTCATATCAGCGGAAAACGTAAGTGTATAAGTCAAAATCAGACGGACATTTATTTACTCTCACTTTTTAATTATTAATTATTTTATACTAAATAAAAAAATTATAACGCGAATGTAAGTAAAGGAAGTAGGAAGTGAAGATATTGAAGATTAGCAAGACATTGAAGATTAAGAAGGATTAACTCTGGACTTGTAGATGTCAAGCTTGAGTGGATTCAAGTTTTGCAATTATCTTGCAGAAAACGATTCCGTGCGAGTTTTCCAATAGATAACAATTCCAACGCGATTTTCTAAATAAAGTGACCAAAGTTACCAGAAGCCAAGAAAAAGAAAAGAAAGTAAATGAAAAATAATGACAATTCTGTATAAACACTCCTCCGACTGTAACTTGAAAAAAAGCCACAAATCCCAAGAGTACTTAATTTTGGTTCTAACACTTTGCAAAATGTATCATGGTGTCTTTGCAAATTATCAGCGAAGGGAAGACAAAGATAAGAAAGCTAAAGACATTAAAAAAAAAAAAAGAGTGAGGAGGAAATGAATGATTGTGGGTGGCTGCCGTGGCATAGAATGACGTTTCACCGGAAATACACGCCACGTACGCACAAACACACATGTATATGGGATGCGTGTACATATACATGTGAGCCCGGAAAGCATAGGTGACGTAGAGCCCTGCATGAAATTGTCAAATGAAAAATATTTTTGTGTAAAGCAGCAAATAACAAAGCTTAAAGTTTCATACAATAAAATACGATAACTTTTCATGGTTGAAAAGACATTTAGTGTGCATGAGAATCTCTTCAAGGGGGCAAAATACCTGTACTGAAAACTATTAGAGGATTAAGCCACCTTACCTTCCAGGTGTCTTAAGCAGTATAAAAGAAAAAAACACAACTCTCTCTCTCTCTCTCTCTCTCTCACTCTCTCTATATCTATCTATCTATCTAAAAGGAAAAAGTAGAACTCTCTGTTATAGAGTAGTTTCACAGTCGAGGCTTGTATTTCACTAAGTCGGTCCCAAATAGGTTCGACGTACAAAACGTTAGGAACTTGATATAACAGTTAATGACGCAGTAGTCTAGTTGTGGTGGCTGATACTTTAATATCCGACTAACGGTCGTCCGACATCGACTGACTGACCAACTCGCTGAGCGACTGGCGACTACTACTACTACTTATTATTATAGGTGGGAGAGTCTATTAATTATAGAATAGGTGTGTTCCAGTATAACACACACACTCTCTCTCTAAAAGAAAAAGTAGAACACACTCTGTGTGTGTGTGTGTGTGTGTGTGTCTCTCTCTTTCTCTCTCTCTCTCTCTTTCTCTTTCTCCCTCTGCCAGAGGATGCAGAAGGGACCAGACGTGTCTCTTCCTACCTCCGGGGCTTACGACCATATCCCGTTGAAATACCGGTTCTCCCCAGATCACCGAAATTAAGCTGCTTCGAGCCTCGTCAGTACCTATATAGGTAACCGCTTGGGAATACTAGACGCTCTAAGCTTGGATGTGCATGAGATGTAATGGATAACGGCTCGGAATGTAGAATCGGAGAGCCGAGTTCAAATTTCAGTCGGGTTCTTTATAATCACATGCGCAAATACCCTTGGAAAAGGCATGAATCCACCTCTTCTTCCCCCAAACCATGGGTTAATTTGCTGGACTTGTATCAGTAAATGATTATTATCTCCCAAAAAATTATTACAATCTAAAAAAATATTTCTGGCTTTAAATAACTTGCAAAAGGTTGATAAACCGTAAAACACAAATCAATCAAAATCATTTCCACTCCGGTGGATTTTTGAGTCTCCAACGCATTATAATATCCCCACTCTAAACTCTCACATAAATATATATCTCCCTCCAACAAAATATCTCTCTTCAACAAAGAAGAAAACACTTCACAATCTAACAGTTCACATAACAAACCGGTAATATAGTGATTAAACAAAGAAAGAAAGTTTATTTAAAATTAATAATGATAACAATACTTCATAATATAAAATTAGAACAACAAGAATCCAGTTAAGTACTTTTTTATTATTCATTGGACGCGGAATGTAGTGGTTTTTATAGACTGAAGATTGGCCAATTCACGATTAAGTTATTTGCTGCAACAGATGCTTACGTTTGTCATTGCTGAAAATGTTTAAACATGGGGACCAATTCCCATTTTTTCTGTTATTCTAAGGAGTGATATCAAAAACTTTGGCAGGATGTGAAAAATAATCATAGTTGATTGATTGGTCAATCAAATCCTCGTCAGAGTTAAAATAAAGTATAATGTGGTCAGCTACAGGGAGCGTCCTCACCAGGCAGCACTAAGGGAGATGGGATTTGGGTTTATCTCTGGTGGCTGAGGTATCCGCAAAAAATAAATGCAAAAGTAATTTGAGCAATTTTTGTCCATCTTCTCGCATTAAACTCGACCTTGCAACTTCTTACGTAGCGCGGATAAATATCTATTCGTGATTGCATTTGAATCTTGTATATTGTGGAGGCATAGTGGAGTAATGGATAGCGGCTCTGATTGAAGAATCAGAGAGTTCGAATTCCAGTCAATCCATTACATTCACTTAATTTGGGAAAGATATGAATCCTCTACTCCCCCCCTAGCTATGGGTAATTAGCAAGACAGACCTGGTTCTTGGATGGCAACTGGTCTACAGAAGAAAGAAATGGCGGGAAAAAATCTTCGTCAGTCATGTATCGAAAGATTCATGATAGCCTAAGCGTGTATCACGCATGGCACATAACTGACTGACTGATATATAGGTAACGTCGTACGATCATTTAAGTTAAGCAACGTTGAGTCTGACCAGTACTTAGATGGGTGGCCTCTTGGGAATAACAGGTGCTGTAAACTTGAATGTTCATGATAACATCTCGGAATTAGAAATCGAAGAACCGAGTTCGAATTCCAATTTTATATATTCACTTACATCCAAACGTTTGGAAAACTTATTACTCCGCCTCTTCTCCCCCAGTTACGGGTTAATTAATGAGACTTGTATCAGTAAATCATTATTATTTTCCAGGACATTTTTATAATCTAAAACTATCTCTGGCTCTAAATAACTTGCAAAAAATGGGTAAGACGTAAAAAACAATCAATCAATATAAGTAAGGTTTCAGTATTTCCTATCCTTGCCCACTGATTTTTATCCCTACTCCAGTCTTAACACCATCACCTTATTTCAGTTGCGGTTGTTACCCCACTTATTTTCCTAAAAAAACGCCTCTAGGGGATGTTCTCTATGCCTATAAATAGGCAGTGACATTCTCTGTCACTCTCTCTTTTTTCTATTTCTCTCAAGAACGGTAAGATGTAGGTCGAACGAAGAAAACGATTTCCCCACGCGTACACACACACGCACGCACGCACATACGCACCTTTCACTTCATTTTCTCTAGGACTTTCTCCTACACCAAACTACACACACACACACACACGCACAAACACCTTCTTTAGTCTTTAAATGTCTTCATTCATGTTCATTGTTAAGTTACACGCCACGCAACAGATTGGTGACCACGACACGATATTTTCTCCTGGATACAAAAACACACAAAATTGTATAAACAAACTTATACATTGCTTAGACACTTCTTCAAAACGAGAACCAATGAAAAGAAAACTTTGACCAACCTCTCTACCCACCATTCCATGCACAGCGGACACGAAAAACTTCCAACAAAAATAACTTACAATTACAAATTTGTGATCAGACACGATGAAAAGAGCAAAATCGCAAATTTAAAATCTCTAAAATGTATAACTATCTGGAAAAGATGTTCTCCAAGTCAGCAAATAGATTTTTTTGCAACACATGTACCCCCCCCCACGCCCAACAAAAAATAATCTCTAATCGCCATTGCAATTACTACTACGATGGTACCCTCACCAGGTAAACAACACTCATCTCATCTTTACTGCCTTTTGCTTGAACGTTTCTCTTCCTCGGGCCGTTACGCCTGGCTTCTTCTTCAACCGGCAGACATCGCAAAAAAGTTCTTCGCCAAAATTAAAAATACGACTTTCGTCTTACAAATTTGAAGCAAGTAAAACACGGGTCATATTCTTCAAGAGCACACGAGAAAATACCACTCAAACACCATGTAAGTTAACTACATTTTCAACTTTAAACAGCATTGTTTCTCCTAGGCTTAACAGATAAAGGGTAAAACAATCCCAAAGGCGAGTCACTGACCTTTTTCACTCAAAGATGTTAACACGAACAAACTAAGAAATCTGCAAGTATAATTTAATAATACACGGAGATAGCTGCGTCTCCGAGAAAAATCGACAGTAATATCAGATATCTTCAAACGTTCTCGCAAAACATGTATTCGACACGCGGTAGCAATTTCACCAATATTGACTTTACAAATCGACGCTTCTTCTATTAAAATTTTGTTCGCGAACATTATCCACGCACAACAAATGAAGCCCTCCAAACAAAATCAATTCAACGTGGAGCATTGGAAAATAACAAAATATTAATACCAACCGCTGATACCTTTATTTATACACTATCGACATATCTTCCATAGCGTGCTACGTCTCTGATCCAGTAGAGAATTATATAACACCCTAATGACGCAGTACTACATTTTCGTCGACATTTTTAAACACACATCGCAACCACACTGTTCGACTCTTTTTCTTTTCAGGCTACGAGGAAAAAAAAAAAAAAAAACTTTATGGACATATGGGCAGAATAAAATTCTCCCCACCTGGAGGGGAATATTATGGATTTACCTCACTTCCTTTTCAAAAAGAAACGCCATCAGAAGACGCTCTCTAAGCCTATGAGTATGCAGTGACATTCTCTGTCATTTTCTTTTTCCCTATTTCACTCAGGAACAGTAAGAACGAGAAAAGCGCTTTCTCCACCAGTGAACGCATGCACCTTTCACTCCATTTTCTCTAGGATTTTCTCCTACACTAAACTACACACACACAAAAATATTCTTTAGTCTTTAAATTTCTTCATTCGTGTTCATTGTTTTGTCACACGCAACAATCTTTAATTGTCTATGTGTACCTTTGTCTTGTTAATGCAGACATTACCGTTTGTTTTTATGCGTAGTTTTGTTGTTACTTTTACATTTATTACCCGGACTCACATTCTGAGTCCGCCATTTTTGTTGTGGGATAAATATACCAGGAGACACCTGTTTTTTTCGACCCAGTCACGACCAGCACTCCCGTAACAGTCTCTTTCCTGCATTGTCAAATAAAATGTTTCTAACAGTAGAGAAGGAAATAAAAGGTTAAGTAACAAACTTTTCATTTCTTTTTACGTAATCTGTATGTTGTTCATTAGTTAGAAAGCCAAAGATATTATCGGTGGTCGTAAATGAATGCATGCAATACTGACAAAATAGGGCGATTCCATGTATTATTATCAAGGCAAATTCAAAATTATAGTTATCATTTTGATCATGATTCTTTAAAATCAACTTCATTTGTATTTGTTTCATGACATTTTACAAACGCTTCTCGCTAGCCTTTTTCGTTGTCTGTCACATTCAATAAACTTTCGAGAAAATTGAAGCGCATTTAAAAATGTTGTAATACAGACACCAAACACAAGGAAACTGATCGGAAAGATTCATGTCAAAAACCTGAGCAGAAAGAATGGTTACTACAATGACTACAAAGACGTCAAAGATTAAGAAAACAGTAAAAAAAATGTAATAATACCTAATCTCAGAAATACAGAAGAAACAGTTAACTGCTATTATTATTATTATTATTCCTTTGATTTCTGGTGTATACTCATTTATTTTGGGGGCCCAAGTAGAGACCTAAGGTCAGAGTTGGCATCATAACATTTGCCACTGAGCATTTTTTAAGAAAAAAATTCCCTAAGATCACACATAATTTACATAAAGTCCTTCGTAAGTTTTATTGTTATTATTATTATTTGTTTCATTTTGATTTCAGTAACTTTTTACTGCAACTCCCAGGTTGTCATTCGACACTCATCAGCAAGAAATGGATGAAAAATAAAGAATAAACGCCGGGTAAGACTCATTTTCATCTCTTATCTTGAGAAGTCTTGTGTCATGCTAAAATCTAAATCTTTATTTCAAATCTATGCTGAGCAGTTGTGATAAAAAGCAAGATGAACGAAATAATATTAAAAATAAATGATAATTGGCAATGTTTTTTTCTAAGAAATTAAGAATAATATAGTTCATAATGCTAGAAACTGTTATTTTAAAAATGCGGCTTTTCTTGGAGTTAGAAAACAGATTTTAAATAAATATTTGAATAACGGTAGATTTATTCCATTTTTTTATGCAAGTAAAACACTAACTTTTAAGGTTAAAAAATGTTTTCATTCTTTGGAATTTTTCAACACGTGCAATTCGTTTACTGATAAAATACCGTTTAGATTAAGAAATTTCTAAATTCTGTAATGACAATCCCATTTAATGAAAATCTGATACCAAAAAAACTTACAAGCTGTTGATAAATAAATAC